ACCATCCTCTGAATGGTGACAGCTTCATGTGACTAGCTGGCAGCAGGAAAAGCACCACTATGGACTGGATTTCAAAACAAGTACCTTGTGGTCACAAGCCATGTGATCTAATGTGTCATCTCACAAATATAAGGAACATATGACAACAGTTTGTTTAATTCACTTTTAAAAGGTGGTAATATACACATAGCACAGACATGTCAAGATGCTAAATGTAATTGTCCAACTGAGTCTCAGGCAAGAACCAGCTCAAATACGTTATGTTGTTTGAGGCAAAGAATGAGTTGGTATTGTCCCATTTTAGATACAAAGATCAATTGCTGCTGGAATCTTTCTTCAATTTTGGCAATACAGTCATGCTTTCCACTGGATCTGAAGGTAGCAGACTAAGGGCCTCTACAGACTGGCCCAAAGGGCTGGCCTGGAGGTAGAGATGGGGAGGGGCAGCTGCACGCCGGCCGCCCCAACCCCACGCTGAGGACGTCCTGATGCTGCGTGCCATTATGCATGGTGTACAGCGTCAGGATGTCCTTCCGGCGCAGCGTTTTGACACACTGCACTGGAAGGGGCGCTAAAGAGCCGTGTGTCGGTTCTTAGGGCAGCCTTTTTCCACCCGTAAAAGGAGTGGCATTTTGCCGCTCTTTTCTGGGCGGCAAAATGAAGGATCAGGGCCACGTGGTCCGGCAGCCTTGGCCCCAATCTGCCACTTCCCGGGGCAGCTCTCTGCCTCCCCTTTGGGCCAGTGTGCAGCAGTTATAAGTTAAGATGAATAGGGCAAGTTACAGGGCACTCAGCAATTTCCTACAACACCTTAATGCAAGTTCCCAGCATCTCCTGCCTGAAGGACCTATTCATTCTGCCTAACTGGAGTTTCAGGCATTCTAGGGGGTATCATAAAGTTTTAATTATCACCTTTAAAAAATTGACAGAAAGTTTGTTTTGATTTTTAGTTGTTAAAATGTTTGTACATAGTCACCATCCAGATTTACACATTTTCCCCAGCATTTCTTGACCCTCCAAATACCATTATTGTAGATGTCGGCAGATTGTACATTAAACCACTCTTCCACTTCATGAATGACGTCATTTGTGTTGTCAAATCAGTGATCCTGCAATGAATTTTTCATTTCTGGGAACAAGAAAAAGTCACCTGAGAGGTTGGGAGAATAAGGCAGATGCTGAAAGATCTCAAAGTTAACTGCAACTGGAGATGAGTGAACTGGTGCTTAGCCAGCTAGGGGACTAATGCCTCTGGAGAGCATACCATGGTATTTTTTTCCCCCCAGAGCATCTTGCAACTTGTCCAGAAGATTGCTGTAGTATGTTCCAGTGATGGTTTGTCCCTTTGCAAAATATTCTGTGAGAATGACTCCACGACAGTCCCAAAAAAGCATGACTTTCTCTCCTGACTTTTGCATCTTTGCATTTTTTGGGGGAAGGGAATCAGCACACTTCCACTCCATGCTCATGGTTTTGGTCTCTGGATCATACTAATAGATCCAGGAGTCATCCATGGTTACCAGATGGCAAAAAAATAATCCTCTTCATCCTGTTCAAACAGCATCAACATTTTTTTTGAAAGATGTTTGTTCTGGAAAGGGGTTAGCAAACGGGGAACCCAGTGTGCAGAAACCTTAGACATGCGCAGTTCATCATGAATAATTTCCCACACACTACCATAACTGAGACCAGTTTCATCCATGATCATTTGGATGGGTACTCATCTGTCTTCCAGGATGAAACACTCCAGTTTCTTCACTGTGGCAGCATTGTTCGCCAACGATGGTCTTCTAGGTCTTGGTTTGTCTGTGAGGGACAAGTGACCACTTTGGAAATTCCTTTTCCACCTCACAATAGTATCACAAGATGGGCAATCATTTCCATAAACCACTATCATCTCATCATGAATCATTACCCTTCAAATACAGGAACTTTATTATGCTGCGAGCCTCAATTTTCTCTATCTTACGCTTTAGTTACTTCTAGCACAACCTGTGACTAAAATAAAGAACACAAAGAGCTGATTTTCTCAATATCATGCACTTAGGGACCAAGGATGACACTGACAAAATTTCATCAATATACTGTAATAACTTCTGGGTGATAATTATTACTTTACAATACCTCCTTGTACTGTCCCTAAATGTATTGGAAAATGTTTTTGTTCTCATGTAGACAAACTTTATCATCTCAGCTATTTCAAAATGTAGAAGCTATCCAAGAGACAGAAAGAGATGACAAGCAGAAGGTCCAACTATAAACAAAACAAGGCAGATGCCTGCCTATAATGTGACTAGTAAATTAAAACAGAAAACGTGAATAAAGGAGAATGGGACCAAAAGTTGATTATACTGATGCCTCCAAATAATTTGTAATCTGTGAAATAACTACTGATTCAAGATGCAGAACCAGATTCACACATACTCAAACTGCATCTTCTATGAGATCTGGCTGTGATGAAGATGCAGATAGTGATTTATTATTTTAAAAACATTTATATCTCACTTTTCCTCTGGTACCCTTGAGGTGGCTAACATGATAAAGTAACAAACTGTCTAAAACAGGGGTCGGCAACCTACGGCCCACGGGCTGGCTGCGGCCTGCGGAGGTCTTGGGACCGGCCTGTGGCAGGTCCCACTGCCACCGCCATGCCACACGCAAACATGGGTGCCATTTTGGCTTCCAAAATGGCGCCTGCCCTTGTGCACGCAAGTGCACAGCAGCAGGTGCCATTTTGGAAGGCCCCACGGCAGCTGCGCAGCCGCCATTGGGCGGAGGCCGCACTGCAGCTGCACTGGGCAAAGGCCTTTCCAAGGCCCAGGGAAACCCCCCCATGGCTGCACAGGGCGAATTTGCCCGCCACGGCCATAGGGGGGGCCTTTCTAAGGCCCAAGGAAGCCCCCCCCCACGGCTACGCTGGGCAAATTCACAGGCGCGGGGGTGCCTTTCCAAGGCCCAGGGAAGCCCCCCCGCACCTGTGCTGGGTGAATTCACCCGGCACAGGCGCGGGGCTTTCCCCAAAATGGCGGCCACATTGCGTGCGCATGTGCACAATGACGCCATCATGAGCAAGCGTGCACCTGCCCGCCCAGCCCCTCACACCATTTTCCCCCTGACAGCCCCCCAGCAACAAAGGTTGCCGGCCCCTGGTCTAAAACATCCTTCCAATATAATAATAAAATAGGCATTCACATCATTTATGAATGTGTGAAAGTCTCTCTTTGTTTATAAATATCTGTAAAAAATGAAGTGATCATCTGCAGAGAAAGTTCATGAAAGGAAAAAAAATACATTTGGGGTTGAAATAGTTGGACTAATCCATTGGTTCTCAAACGATGGGGTGGGACCCCCAGGGGGGCACAAAAGTTGTTAAAGGGGTGGGTTGCGAGACTTGGTGGCCACAATTCCTCCTTCTCCTCTTCCCCAAAAAAATTTATGTGCAAAATTTATATACACATTGAGTTAAATATTGAATTCAATTATATAAAATTGTTCTAATTTGAATGATGTTATTTCCTTATAAAATGTTAAAATATAGATGTACATGAATGTGTGAATGAAAATATTAAATAAAGAAAATATTTTTATTCATATACTATGTTGAGTGGAGGTCTTGATGTCCATATGAAGATGTAAAGTCCCAAAGGTAAAAATTTGGAGCGCCACTGGATTAACCCTTTCATTCAATATTAGGAAACTCTGTATAAAATTGTCTGCCCTTTAATCAGAAAATATCTTAGAACAGTGTTAAGTGAAATACATTGACAATAAAAAAATAACTACACAATGTATTTTACAGCATTTTAGTGTGATTCAGTTAATTCTATGACATACTGGAATCATGTTGGAATCATGTTGGTTAGAGTAGACCCAATGAATCAACTGTTGAATCATGAGTAAAAGCTTTACTTAATGGCTTTATGATTTACTTAATGATTTAATGGCTCTACTCCCAGGATTTAAGCCTTTGAATAAAACTACTCAGATTTGTAAATAGTATCTTCATACCTATGGAGAAAGAGGGAAAGGGCCTCAATAACTGTTGAGCTGTGCAGAAGAGAAATAAAACCACTAGTGGTTCCAGTGTCAGTGAGCAGCAAATTTATCCAAGGTGCTGAACCTATTTTCAACATTTAAAGTTAAACTAACACCCAGAACAGATTCATTACCCCACTGTCATGGGAGTCCTAGCTACCATTGAAAAAGATAAATAAAAATTGGCTTTACTCTATTTTCTTGCCCTGAAGTAGACAACAGATCACTGAACTTTAAAAGGATCATCCAAACCATCAGCGCTTCAGAAGACTGTGAAACAGTAAACTGATCCTGGTTGGAAAAATGAAATTAAAATAGCATGTAATGCTGGTGGATAAAAAAAGCATTATTTATTTGCCTTTTACCAAAGTGTCTGAGTGGCATTTTGAAGAATGCTTGATTTAATTAAGCTAACAGATGTGGCAGTTGTTCCCTTCCTTATGCATGTAATAATTTTAACTCTGGTGTTTATGAAGTTGCAGCGAAACATCTCTAACACGCCAATATAATACCTAATAACATCCTGCCCTCTTTTCTACCTCACATCTATTTGCTCTCTGTGCCATTTTTATTTGGGGTTATGGAAGGAATTACTTGACAAAACAATTGGATATAGCAACAATGCCATAGTCCTTTTTAGGGTGGTGGTGGTCTTTAGAACCTTTTAGGATCCACATTATATTCATGGCAACAATCCTACTGATTCACTTGGAAAGTACCTCTCCACACAGTACATCATTCATTGAAATTGCTGCTACAACATATGGTGATGGCTACTGGCTTATAAGATTTCAGAGATTAGAAAAATTAATACAAGATATCCATGCTTGCATGTAATGCTTGCTGCTGCTGTTATATGTCTTCAAGTCATTTCTAATTTATGGTGACCCTAAGGTGAAACTATCACAGGATTTTCTGGGGCTGAGAGTGTATGATTCCCCCAAGGTCACCCAGTGGCTTTCCACAGCCAAGTGGGGAATTGAACCCTGGACTCCAGAGTTGTAGTCCAACACTCAAACCACTACACCATGCTGGCTCCTTATGTACATACAACATAATGCTTACATACAACTTAAAAGTTCAGAAGTAGTACATCCCTAATTACCAATTTTTCAGAGCAGGGATGAAGATATTTTATTTTGCCACTTCCCCCTACTTCACATACAGACTGGGCTGCCTGCTGAATACTTAGAATGCAATAGCAACCATTCACATAATAGTATGCAATAGGACAGCCTGTATGGCCAACATACAGCTTTGCACTCCAGCAGGGGAACGGGGAATGGCCAGAAGGCACAAGGGGAACATCTGAGGGACTATTGTTGCTGTCCTACCAGTATCTTTTGCAGATCTTGGAAGTAACTAATTATAAATAAATAGTTCACCAGAATCACTTGCCTTTTCCTATTATGAAGATATAAGTAACTTAATTCCTTTTGTGGTATAATTGTAAGCTACTGTTTCATCTACTTTTATATTTATAAGGATGTGTTGAATAATATTGGAGATATATCTCATGGTTTAAACTTTATTTTTTTTACTGGCCTTAATCACTCTCCCACAACTAGTAAAATGTGGGAAATTAATCCTTTTGAATTTGGGAACTCCTGCTGTTTATTTTGGGAGGGGTTCTGGTCCTCTGCCCAAAGGCCTGCCTTGAAGGCAAAAGTGAAAACATCAGTAACTTTTCCCAGATCAGATGCATATGTCAGAAACATGCATTAATACTTAGGAAATGGATAGTAGCAGGAGGTCTAAAAATCCATAGAACCTAAATTATTCCATCATTTTAAACCTGGAAGATGATGCTAAACCTTGACAATCTAAGATGTCATTTACTTATTCATTTCAGTTGCAATTTCTGAATGCTTATGATCACAACCCAAATACTGAATATGTGGGCCCATTCTCAAAATCAGATGGAAATGGGATTAAATTAAAGGAGCTTCCAGTTGTTTGGTTTTTATTTAACACACCCTTTTCTTCCACATGCCTACAGTTGGTGTTCTCTGCTTTTATGAGAACTATTAATAGATCAAGATGTGTATAGTTTGCATAATAACTGAGATTATCTCATGGCAGAGGGGAGTGGAGAAGGTATGGTCTGCCATATAAGCCAAGATGTATTTCACACTGAGTTTAGTGGTGGAAGTAAATAAAGGAACTTTGGTATAAGGTGCTCTTTTAAACATTACCTTTGCTTATTAACTCACAAATAGTGCAGTGTCAGCAGATCTTAGAAAAGCCAGTAAAATCAGTTCCTTCCTCTGTCTTCAAACCTGGATGTTGAGTATTTCAATGGCATGCAGAAGCTGTTCTACCAACTAGCAGAACATAAGATAAGCTGCCATGGAAACACACTGAAAGACTAGTAGATGTTACTGCTGCTGAAATAGCATTTTCATTATTTAGAAGGTTTCCAGGATGCAGCATTTTCAACTGAATAGCCTCCCTCCCACCCCACCAAGATTGTATTGTTTTGAGCTCCCACTATGGAAATCAACTGGACTTTCCTCTTTGCAAATGGAGATTTCAGACAAAGCAGAATTAATTGCTAAAGAACTGACTAATTCATTTCGAGGTGATCATGCTGAGTCACATCTTATGAAGCTCTACTTCTTCAGCATTGTATTGTGTCCTCCTTAAATGGGAATTCAGCAAATATATTTCATTCATCCATTCATTAAAAAAAGACAATAGACTTTTCAGCAGTTACTTCTGTTAGGCTGACCTAAATTATAAGCCTTTGAAAAAAAAAAAAACCCCAGGAACCTGTGCAGAGCTGCCTCAAGGCTTAGATGAGACCTCAATGTTGGGCCACCTGCAAGATCACTGTCCCCCCTGGTTAGCTTAGCAGATGGTAGTCCTCTTCCAGTGTGCATCCCTCCAACTTGTGCTATGTGGTCACCATTTTAATTTTTCCATTTTGCCTCAGACATAGCCTGTGTCTGGGATATTGTGGATCAGTTCATTTATTCAGCTACCAGAGATATATGAATGTGAGGTAGAGACATCAAATTATGTACATGAATGTGTGAACCAGGTCTAAAACTTGCAAAGGTTCAAATAAAAATGTCAAATTCTTCTAAGAATTTTTCAATACAATGATAATTATTGTTAGTCTATGAACACAGCTGGCCTAATAAAAGGTATTATTATGCATAATTTTGGATTCTATCTATTTAAGGCAGTTTCATTTGCAAAGAGGCTTGCCAGCTCTTGGCTTGAAAACAGATCTTGTTATTTTTAGTAGCTGTATGTATAATTGCCATTGGTCCTCTTCCCATGGCGTAACCTTTATTTTTTGCATTAATATTTATTTCTTCCTCATAATTAACAATGTTTTGTTTGCTGCATACCCCAGCAACTACAGTAATTTTTTGTTTTTCAGACAGCTATCTGAAGTGACCCTATGTTCCTAGCTTGGAACCTGGTTAAAATTCCATGAAATTTTACCAACTACTTTTGTCTTATGGAGACAGCTATGTCCCTGGTGCCTTTCTACTCTTCACACTAATTTGTACCCAGAATAGAACTGGACCATCTTTATCTTTTGATCAATGTTACTAAAAATTCGATAGACAAATCAGAATGACTTATATTAACATTACTTTTTTTAAAAAACATTTTAGGTGGCCTAAATGCATACAATTCCATAGAGATTTTTCTCCCTCTTGGAACCAGAAATTCTACAAAATTGTCCCCTAAAATACAGACTCAATGAACCACAAGCCATGCATAAACTTGATTGGAACTTTCTTCCCCAGGAGGAAAATCTTTTTAAGGATCTCTCAAAGGGGACAGCAACTTTCTTATGCCCAACATCCAAGTGACAGACCAGTGAGTAAAGGCTGCTAGAAAAAGTCAAACGCTGGTAAGCCTTTCTAGGAAGCAGGGATTTTATGGATTTTACGGTCTTCATTCAGGATGTGTCAAAAGCAGATAAACAAGCACATGTAAAAAGTTCTCACTGACAGTGCTTGGTTTTTCCTTTCCTTCATGTTACTGTGCCTACTGCTGGTATGATGTCTCCCGGCTTTCTAAGGGACAGACTATTTCCTTCTGAGACCTGCATGAATGGTTCTCCTGACAACTCTGTTGCCCACACAGGCCTGTTTATCAGGCATATGGGAAAGGCTTTTCTCTCTGTTGACCAGAGATAATGAACAGTAGAACAAAGTCCCTCAAGAATTATGAAAGGCCTTCACTTTCTAAGCATTCAGAAAAGGTATTAAGACACATAGATCAATAGATAGATAGATGTCAGAAGGCCAGTTTTCAAAGCATGCATATGCTGGGAAATTCCAATGGGAGTGCAGTACAGAAATTCAGGCAATCTCCCCTCCAGAATAGCAATGGGGGAAGGAGGAGGGCATAATGCCATGTGAACTAGCCTTGCCTCCTACTCTTCACTTTCACCATGGCTAAACCCACATATATGACAACCCATATGTGGGAAATGCATAGTTCTGTACCATCTGTATATTTGGCTGGCATGGAAAAGGGCTGGTTACTGCTCTATATATTCAGAGCTCTTTCATACAAGCAGAAACATACTCTGCATATGTATGTGAATACATATGAAGAGTCCTGTCCTATATACAGTCAGTCCTCTGTATCCATGGCTTTTTTTATCCACGGATTCAACAATCTATGGCTTGAAAACACATACACACACACTCTAAAAAGCAAACGTTGATTTTACCATTTTATATAAGGGATACCATTTTACTACTATGCCACTGTGTTAAGTGGGACTTGACGATCCATGGATTTTGGGGTCCATGGGAGGGTCTTAGAACCAAACCCCAGTGGATATCAAGGGCCCACTGTAGTATGAATGCATAGACATTAGGTCAGTGTTTCAATAAATCAATCAACCAATCAACCAACCAACTTTATTATGATTACAGAGCAGTATCAAAAGGACAAAAGCAGAATCAGTGTTAAAAAAGAGTACTTCCTGTGAAGGTACTGTTAGAAGAAGTGCGTCTGTGCTGTTAAGAGAAAGGAGCAGGTCTAGCCCTGACTTGATTCCCTGACATAGTTCTCATCCACACTGCAGAAATAATATAGTTTGACACTGCTTTAATTGCCACAGCTCAATGCTATTGAATTCTGTAGTTTTATGAGATATTTAGCCTTCTCTATCAGAGAGCTTTGGTGCCACAACAAACTACAAATCCCAGGATTCCATAGCATAGAGCCAAGGCAGTTAAAGTGATGTCAAACTGCTTTATTTCTGTAGTGCAGATTAGGCCATAGTCTTTATGTGGAAGGGGAGTTGTGTGAAGCTTCCTGGTATCTGTTGCATCCACTCGCAGAAATTTCATGGCTGCTGACAGATCAGGTCAAACTTCAGGAAAGAAGTACCTTTTATGGTTTTACCCACGTTATATTTTCACTGTATTTGTGCTGTTTTATTTCAGTAATTAAGTATAAAATATTATTACAGCAATTAAGTATTAAGCCACCTTGAGTTCCATTTGAATGAGAAAGACAGGATGTAAACAGAATGGATGAAACCTGTATTGGAAATGCTGTAGAGCTTCTGCTATTTTAGAGCTAATGGAAAACATGGTGCAGACTTTTAAATGCATCACTACATTTAGGTTCTACCAGAGGGGAAACAGAGCAAGCATTCAAGAGCTGTAGATTGCATCTTAATAATAATTAAATGATGGGAGTGTTAATATGAAGAGATATCATTGTTTCTTTTCAATTTGTTACATGTGATACAAAGCTTTCTCCCCCTATATGTCTGTTACCCATATTGTATTTTTCTAATGCAACTACAGTTTACACTGCATGATGTTCTCTGCATGATACCACTGTACATAGGAAAGAAAGTGTGAATAGGCCATCAGTGTCTTTTCAGATTAGTTTGTGGTGGGTCTGGGCTTCTGTTGGCATGCAGAAGGAAACCAAGTATATGTCAGATCTGTGAGTGAGGAAACTTTATGAAAAAAATTCTCAAAGGTGGGACACTTGCAGAGGCCATTGTCTCACAATGCCTACTCAATGCCTACTGCCATT